CACACAGGCCGCGGTTTAATAATATATGTCCTTTTTGTGCTTCTACTACCTTTTTCAGAGCTAGATGTGACCCGCTTTCGTTCTGATCTGCAGATCCCACAGGGAGCATTTCAGAATAAGAGCGTTTTGCCTGCCTGATTTTGCTGACATGTTTAGATTTTGTTGATGTAGTGGTTAAGTAGGCTACGTAATTAAATAGTTTCTTTTTTGTCTGTTTTAACTGTGTTTATTGTTGATATACAATCGTGGGTCTGCACAGGGTATTTTAATTTGAAAATGGCTGCGCATTCTCTCCAGAGAGGAGCGGAGAGACACTTTTGGTGTTAGCACAAGCATTGATTACAGTGGCTGCGATCAGCTTCGGCAGCCGCAGCGCAGACGGACGCAGGTGGGCCCTGTGATGAAGCTCCGCCCCCCTGTGCTGAGAGTCTAGCTCCGCTCCAGAGTGGCCCCATCTGGCCACCCCTAGGAAAATTTGCTGACGGCGCAACTGCCACACGTGCTGGTATTGCAGGGAAGAAATTTGCATTCAGAATAAACAAACATGGGGGAGAGTGACGTTTACTCAGAAATGGATAATACTGAATAGGAGGATTCAGACCATGCATGACATTCAGCTAACTTTCTAGTTAACCAAGATATGCTGTTGTTGTGATGTTACCTATAGCACCAGGAGAGTTGTGAGTATTGCTGTTTGGAGCTGCTGTACTACTCTGGGGCCATCTCGTCCTCTTATGTTAGCTTTGTAGCTCCAAGTAGTGACAGTTTGTTAACTCACAACCTAGCTACCATTAGTGACATTTCTTGCTGTGTCGCTGATCACTCTATATCATGGTATTTTTCATAGTATTGGATTTCTCCAGAATATCCCCACCCTTATGATGGAGAGAAATATCATGATTTACTAACTCATGATATTTCATTGAATTTACAAAAACATCTTCTATATCGGGATATGTATCGTTATTGGGATATGAAATGAACTATATGAGATTTCATATCGCACAGCCCTATGTGGGACAGATCAGCCCCCAGTCATGGCCTATTAAGCTGAAAACTGCTGATTCCGGTCACCAGCTGATTGATCTCAATATACAATGTGTTCAGCTTTGACACCAGAGGCCCAAGTTTGTATACTGTCTCATACCAACAGTCAATCCTTCCTTTTCTTTACTCTAAGTGTTTTAGTTTCCTAAACTTAACCGTATTTGCCATGCACAACCCAGGGAGTAATTAATGGAAAAACACTGCCAGTGGATGTATATATAATAAATATCACTAATAATCCACAAGTGCACAAAACAGATTATTTGTGTCACACCAACCATAGTAGCATGTTGTGTTGTGTGCAGAATTACAACACCCTCAGTGGTAAAGCTCCCTCTTGCCAGCCTGAACCCGTGCCAACCTTAGTATCCCAGTGCACCACGGCTAGCATGGCTATTAGCTGCAGGGCAGGTGAAAAGAGGGTTTGGCACCCATTCCTGAGCCTGCCGCCTCCGGGGGAAATGAGACATGAGGTTTAATTAGAGTGGATAGACTCGGGTTTTGGACATGTAGAGGAAGCTTTAATTGATGTCAAAATTGTCTTACTTCATGTCAGCTATACCCACACTACTCTGCTTTGATTTCAAGAGGGGAAAGTGGGAGGTCTAGAGTGGGAGGGGTGCACAACCTCTTTCCAGGTGCTTGGTTTTAAGTAAATATAGAATCAGCTAGTATGTGCTTATGACAGCTGCAATGTTAATGTCTGACAGGTGAGAGCAAGTGAGAGAAAAGTAAGCAAAATGAGGCAAAACTGCACCAAGGACACTGACTTGATCGTTTTCTGAAATTCCACATCGTTTTGTGCCTGTTAGTGTTACATTCAGTAATCAGCCTATGGGTGTGAATTGTGCCACGACTTAATTTGAATGACAAACATTGCTTTCATTCAGTTCCATTAGTCTTCATGGCAATCACTGCAGTTTCCTAAACAAATGACTGATTATGTTTAGCCCTTGCTTAGCATAATCCAGTTTACTGACAATATTCTTGTTGATTTCATTGGATCTCAACAAGATTATAATGAGGGAAGTTCGCTTGTTTTCTAGTGTACAATACAAATGCTTGCAACTCCTTGCCAAACAAAGAGCAAAAAAATCTGAATTTTTGACATTTTCAAAGTATAAATTATTCAGTTTTGACATTGCTCGTTATACCAGCCAACTTCTACGGAAGGTAAATAAACAAATGTGATTTTTTATTTTTTGCTCTCATATCAAAAGAGGCACACACTCTTCAACCAAAACAACTTGGACGAATATTGTAAATAGGTGCGAAGCTGTGATCTGTTTCTAAAAAGGACACAGAGATATGAAAGATTTTGTTTCTTCTGCAGACACAGTTTCCAACTGGGAGGAATGACGACATCTTATCTCTCCAGTGAGGCCATTTAAATATAGACTTCTGCTACTTATCTGTTTCTGCAGCTTCAGAGGCTGTTGATACAGCATGGTAGATTTCCTGTTACGTTGTCATCCTTGAACTTCAGCACCAGTGACATCAACATTTTGTTGTTAACCTTTTCTATATGACGGACACATTATAACTCATATTTACTGCAGTAACGTTAAATCAGCCACTTAATTATTAATAACGACTGAGCCCACACACAAAAAGTATCAACATCCTGATGAACTCTTTGCAGAAACTTAAGAAGGAAAGGATTTTTTCCCATTTCCCCATGTTCCCTTCATCCCTTTATTGATGCAATACGGTGTAATCTAGCCCCCCTGACTGAGCAGTGGAATACACACCTCAGACTCTGCAGATATTTAATACAGGACTGCTCTATACATTATAAATGGCCCTCTGCAATATGCCATCCCTCTAAAATGAAGCCACTGCGCAAATAGAGAAAATAGAAATGTCCTGCCCTTGGAGCACCGCTCGGATTTGGAAGTTCTATTCTGGGGCTTTTCCTTTCTGTCTGTACAATATGTCATGTGAAAAGCAAGCATTCATAACATAACTTAAATAAACAGATAACCTTGTTCTAAGGTCAAAGAGGTCATCATGTACAGTAGACAACAACAATCCAAGTGTAGTAGTGCAGAACAAATGAACTAAAGATAATGAACACAAACAATTAAATAATGACGCATAAGAAAGTGCAAAGATCACAGATTTGATCAAATAATATCCAACATGGCTGTGGGCTGGTATGCTTCTCTTTGTGTGTGTGTGTGTGTGCATGCACGTGCATGTGTGTGAGGGAGACAAGCGGAGAGGGCAGAGTGCCGCTGAGAGTGATGAGATGCGATGAGACACAGTTTGAGTGAGTGCATACTAGCAGGAGGGAGCGAGAGATAGAGTGTGTGAAAGTGGATGAGAGAGCGAGAGAACACGAGAGGGAAGATGGACATAAATGGCTATGAGTTAGCATAGCCCCCACCCCACCCCCAGTTGAAACAAATTGAGGCCACTAACGCAGCAGTTAGGTTGTTTTTCAGGTCACTCAAAAAGTCACGCTAAAAGCGCAGCTAGACCTAAATCCATTGTTAATTTTAATGGAATCAGAATCAGAAATTCTTTATTGATCCCCAAAGGTAAAGTGAATGAATGAAAGACACTGCAACCTAAAGGATCCAAGCATGTTGCAGTATATCGAGAGATTACAAATTTATACTAATGCCATTTATACAGTAGAGCTACACTGGAGTTAATTTCATTAAACTGTTGGGAAAAATACTATTGATTTATCTTGATTAGGATCCCTGGCAGAGCACATCTTTTTTTCTGATACCATCTTCTCTATCCTCAGTAGCTGAGCTAGCTGCTCAGCCATGCTGTGGGAAAAGTGACTGCTGAGTGGACAGAGCTGCATGGGTGATTCATTTGAGTTTGTGGAGTAACTGACCTTGTAAATATGGGACTGAGCTAAATCATCTCCTCTGGAAGCAGGCTAAATGTTGATGATGCTCCAGTGACCATGTGGCAGCCATTTCTCATTTCCTATCACTTGAAAGACCCCCAAATGTATCATTATTCACAGAAAACTAATCTTCCACTAATTGTTTTCACACTCCATAAAATACACAGCAGTTCTGGTTGTCACCGTTCTCAGTGTAACAAATACTAAAGAAACATCTACTTGATTCATCACTCTTAAGAATGTTATTAACCAACAAAATGAAGATCTTATTTCTCAAATATTGCAGACATTATTTTTGATGGACAATCTATGACATACATACATATATACACTGTGAGGATGTCTCTTATTGTATACAAATATAAAAGTCATATAGGCTACTGTGTCTGGTGAGAACATATGAGCACAAATAAACTATAAACTCAAGACAGCACTTCACCTTTGTAAGTGCCAAATGGAATGTAGGGCCTGGTGATTTCTTTCAGTGTGGCATAAAAGCTTTCAAACTCTTATTAGACTACTTTCTCCTCCTAAATGTCTTTCATGTACATCCACAGGCAGGCAGCTAATGCTGGAGTCTGTGGTTAACATGTGTTTCACCCAACCTGACAAGTCAGTATCAACCGGCCAATACCTCCCAAGACTTCAAACCTCCATTAGGCATTTCTTTACCTGTCAGAAATAATAGTGCTGAGGAAAACCGTGGAGGAGGAGCAGCGTCTTTTCAGACACACATCATATCGTCACGCAGGACCAAATCGCCCACTGTTGTTTTGTTTAACCACACAGACACCGGCTGTGCCCTGTGAGAGTGCCTGTGAAATGTTCAAGACATAGCCATGTCTTTTAAACCCGCAAAGGCGCAGTTTAAATACTGACTCCAAAAACAGCGTTTTGAATCAGCATGAGTCACCTTCCCACCCACTTGGGACGCTATGTTCGCTCCTGTCTAACATATTTGACTTAATATGTAAAACACACAAACACACATAGCTACATTTAGTGGGCGATAGGCTACGTAAGCTGCCAGATGCAAACATCAAGGAGCAATTCAACAGTTTTGGTCTTTGTGGACCCGTTTTACCTTTGGGTGAGAGAGCGCCTCTTGAAAATTGGAGAAGACGACTTGGGAGGATTTATCCGTGTTTTGTCCGTAACTTCCCGAGCAGGGCATCTGTTTCTGAAGACGTGTTGAAGAAAAAGAAGAAGAGGAGGAAGAAAGAAACAGTAGCGAGCGTCGTTGTGATGAACTGCAGCGGCGGCGTTTTCCGTTGGAACGCGGGATTTGTCGCCTTATTTTCCCGGTGAGTTTGTGTGTCTCCGGCGGGTAGAAAAGCAAGAGCGCCGGTCCACAGCGGTCTCCATCACCGAGCTTCACCTCAACGTTTTGAGACGACGGATGGACACATATACAGGTAGGCAGATAGAGAGGACGACTGCCCGACTGTCTGTCAGGCGAGCCGGGGATAGACGACCTACTGAGACGTTACTGCAACGCCAACCAACAAACTCAGAGCGAGAGAGAGAGAGAGAGAGATGGAGAGACGGGTGGGGAGGGGGGGCTGAGAGATGGCTTCAGTGTATAGGCTTCCAATCACAAATTTGAGTTATTTGTATCCACTTGTATTAAGACTTTGTATTACATCACAGTTTACCATTTCATAAACTGTGTTTTGTTTGAGACACTTGGTTGTAGCCTAGGCATAAATTGTTGTGTTTTTAGGAAGCCATTGGCTTCCATTTTATTTTCCATTTATTTTTGCTTGATGAGAAAACTTGCTTGAGTTGTCTTATCCATGACAGTAAACGTCTGTAAAATTGGGGGACTAACAAGAGACAGATTTAAAAAGACATACACCATCTTACTGATGCAGCAGAGCTATAGCCTTACTGACTTACAGTGCCAATGAGTCCACCTTAAAAAAAAACAGATCCTACATAACAAGCACTGTTTTTTTAGACCCTCCCTGCCAGGTGAATGACCATATCTTTCAAACTCCATACCCAAACTCCCTGGTTTGTGACACAGGCTTTCTGTTATATATTTTTTGTCTCCAAGCTCAAGCCATGACAACCCTGATGACATCAACAGGGTTATTTTCCCCCAGAGCCACAAAAGACATTTTTACAGCTTTTTCTTCACAGGCTGAGTAATGCTCCTCATGACAAATAAATTGACCTTTGTGTGTAAAATTAGTGGAGTGCCAAAGCTGCATTATCATTATGAATTTACACATAAAATGCATTACCACATACAGTACCAATACAACCTAATTTAGACTTGATCTGCACTGATTACATGACATTCGCTAGTTTCAAGAAAATTAGAGTACTGATCTGAAATGAATGGAAACCAATGGATGCCTGGAACTGCAGGAAGAAAACACGAAAAATATATAAAACTGGCAACATGCATTCAAAAATGTAACATGATTTACAGTTATGGCGGTAAAACAAACACAATCAGTAAAGATTACTGTGCTGAATATCTGTAAATATTTTGTCTTACCTTTTAGCTCACTTTCGACACCACTGGTACATTGCTTTGGCAACCTTAAGCTTTTTTCCTGTAACGCTAATAAGGGAGTGAAGTGAACTAAGAGAGAGAGAAAAAAAATATGTATTTATATATTTAGTCCAATATCTTTTTTCTGCAAGATGTGTTGACTGTTGTCTCACATTAAGAGAAACAGGCACCCATACTGAATCCAAAACAACACTGTAGATCTGCCCATCTGTTCTTATCAGACTGCTCTTTCTCTGCAGGGAATGTAATTCATTTTGTCACCCTCTGCTTTGGTACTGTATGTCTGTATGTCATGCCAATAAAGCACAGACTGAGGTGAACTGAAAGAGAGTAAAAGACGGAGAGATATGAAATGGATTCAGGACCATGGACAGCTCACTGTGTATCCTAACTAGGCCAAACACTTTGCTCTTGCTCTAGCTGCCACCTCTTTTATCCTGTCAGTCAATCTAAATTCAGCTTGGAACAGACTAAAGATATGCTAAGATTAGTGTCGCAGTACAGAATTATTAACTCCACAAACTACTGACACAGAACATGAAGGAAACATACAGTGTTGTCTATATACTGAAAAAGACAGGAAGACATAGGAAGTGTGGTGAAAGATCAAACAAAATGTAGTCAAAGTAATGCAGCAGGAGGATCACAAGGTTACTGCTTTATTATAGGCATGCTTTCACCTGTCACATTTGATCGCTCTCGTCCCTGGGAGGTGAAGGCCAGGGAGAAAATACAGGTATTTGTCAAAAGGTCAACCATGATGTGCTAAAAAGCTGGGGCCACAAAAGTGCTCTTTCTCTCATGCACACTCACACACACTGGAAGTGAGAGTAACCCCATTCATAATTTTTATGAGCACTGTGACTGCAAAACACTTTCTGTGACTGATTTTATCCCTTTTGGCCAATGACAGTGATTTGAAAGTTGAAGTTTATGTGTAAGTAAAACAATCAATGATTTAAATTTTGTTTGTTGGGAACATTTTAACTGATATCAGACTTAATAACCACAAAATAATCAGTAATGGTTTGGAAGGCTGCTAGTAGTACTCTCTCTCTCAATCAATAAATTTCTGCAGACTGCTGTAACCACTTTTCTCCAAAGCAGGGCAAGTTGCTGCTCATTGATCACTCTTACACCAGAGCTCCCATCAAGAACTTTGAGGTAAACATTTAAAACTGAACTGGAAATGAAGTGAGTCCTACTGTTAAATTTGATTCTCCAGGAGGGAGGCGAGAATCTAGAGACTTTGAGTAAGGTGCAAGAAAAGACCAGCATTCTGACTTTGCATTTTTCCGGGACCACTGCTGTCTTATATAATGTAGAGGGGTAGGAGGATCATAAAAGCCCTCAAGAGCCAGACTTGAACTCACAATGCATGGCAGGCGCTGCGGCATGTTTTCTAATCATGTCTGCCGCAACATGAACCTTGCAGATAAGCACAACTCCTGTACATTTGAACCAAAGCGGCTCCCGAATGCTCTCTCCCTCTGTAAGCATGTCTTTCAGCAGCATCTGTGCTATGCTGAGGGAGGATTACCTGCTTAATTAGAATGGGAGGTGAGTTTTGTGTGTGTGTGTGTGTGTTATGTGCACAGCACACATGATAGAGACAGAGTGTGTAATCACAAGTAATCAAACACCTAAATAGGAATCTATTTGAGCTTTCCCATTTGCTTTGCTAGATAGTGAGTAATTGTTGCATCTATTATGCCATATAACCACATATATTAAAAACATTAATTTACATTTAAGGTCATTCAGCTTAATTGCCACAGCAGCCAGGAATCCGTTTGTATTCCACAGTCAGTGGAACCTTTAGCATCAGTGCTAAAGGTTAATATGCATTTATATTCATTAATGGATTGAAATGAAGGACAGAGAATGACGGTGGCAGAGCAGTAAGTCATGTGATGGTTCAGCTGATAAACAGATGGTCTGTCTCTCTCTCACACACACACACACACACACACACACACACACACACACACACACACACACACACACACACACACATTATCAAAGCCATTTAATGGCCTTGCTTCCTCCAAGGGGAAGATGCTAAAGTTCCACAGAATCAGGGGGGGGAAACAAACAGGATATTACAAGTTAAAACTGCATGTCAGAATTAGTAGTGGCATTTCGCAGAAAGGAAGGGACCTTTTACTCTGTTCCATGAACACTGGTGTGACTGTGGCCTGGACTAATTAAGGAAATAGTCCTGTTTGTGCGTAATGTCTGCACCTGCTCATCAACGTCCCTGACAACATTGATTAACTGCATTCTGTGTAAGAGTAGGCTTGGCAGCTCATTAACCATAGGAACAAAAGTTGAAGGGCAGTTGTTACAGCTATGCTACAGATCAGAGCTTTGTGTCACTATATGCTGAGCTTTGACTCGTGAAGAAAAACAAAAATGACTGCATAATTTTCACCCCAGGTTAGAGTCCACTCATTTTTTGGTCTTTTGTTAGACACATGAAGACAAAAAAGAAGAGGTACAGGGAGGAGAGTTAGCCAAAATATATCCTTTGGAAGGTCGTGGTTTTCATGGCTCAAGATGTCTTAAACAAATACCCTCTTAATAAAGCTTTTAACTTTAATTTGTTATGTTTGAACTGCAACTCATAATTTATGTCATCGATACATCTACTGCTAATTACCCAGATTAAGTGAGTTTCACACAACTCTTGTAAACTCCTTGCTTGAGATTGAACTAATCCATGCTCATTACATGATACCGCTATAGTGACTGTATTTAGCCGACGTTCTATACCGGCGTTAGCTAGCCAGCTGCTTCTGAGTAACTATTTTTGTATCTTTCACCAGACGCTCAGCAATGTGAGCACATAATGGTTAGTGAGCTAGTGCTATTACATAATTTCTTGCAAGCTAAACTGAACTTTGACATAATACCGGTAGTACACAGGATAGTAATATGGATTGCGTTGGCTGTAGTGTTTTTCATCTGATAAAGTTAGCAACTGCTTGGCGTTAGCTGGTGAGCTAATCTAACTTGAGCACAAAAATACAATATATTTCACATGCTTTGCAGTAATGTTAGTTTACCTGTAAAAGCCAACTCTGTGTCGGTTTTATTCGGTTTCAAAAAAAAGCGGAGGTCTCCCCGTGAGTCAAGCCTTTCTGATGATGACAGTGTTTTCACCTGAAGTCAGTCTGATTCTTGTATGGCCTAACGGGGACTAGCACATTTTGTAGCACATAGTTTGTGTTGGAGTCTGTGTTGTGCTGTGAGCCGGTTGTTTGTAGGTTTTAAGCAGACGACCACAGCCCGTGACCTGTGTTATCTTTAGTATTGTTTACTTGGTGTTCTGTGTTTTCTCTGTTGTTGGTCTGGGGTATGTGTGTGTTAGGCCTGGCATCTCCTCAGCACCTGGCTCTCCGGCGCAGCTGCTAACAATCACCTAATCAACTTCCTGTTGAAATACCCCTGAGCTTCAGACAGCCAGCGACTTTTATATTTTTTTTCTCTCTCAGTGGTAACATTCCAACATGGTCTGCAACGAACATCCCCACACCTCTAGTGAATCTGTTGAACTCGTTTTCATCTGTTCGTGGAAAGACTTTTGCTAACAGTTCTTTCCCCTGTGTTACAGTTGCTTGGAGTTGATCTCTCCCAGGCCACCAGCCACACTCCGTTGCCAGCGCAGGACCAAGCTAGCCTCTACTCTGCCTGCCGGGTTATCCAACAACAACAGCCACATTTCTGCAAGTTTCTGTGCCACTAAATACTATTAAAACCTGTAATAAATCTGCGAGTCTGAGTCTGCTGTTGAGTCCGAACCCACACAAACGTAACACAAAATGATTGCAGATTAATTTTGACTAAGTATTTCAGCTCTTAACTGAATTTTCTTATTTTGTGGTTAATCACCAGAGTGTGTTTTATTAAATCATGAAATTTCAGCTATCAACTAACGAACTAGATATAAATAAATCCATGAATACA